TTTTTTTTTTTTTTTTTTAATTCAAACAATTATCAACTCTGTTTTTGTGAAGAAATTTGTATTTTTGGACTATATTTTACCTTTTTCAGGATAAATTTCTCTAGAAAGTTCATTTTTCGCGTCATGGCATTCCACTTCCTGATTTTATGCAGGTTAGCCACAAGTTTTAAGAATTTGGCACAAGGATTTAGTTACCAATTCACACTTTTCTTTGTCCTTGAAAATGTTAGTTTTAGGATATCCTTTTTTTTATTTATTTTTTATTTTTTATCTAGTAATATTAAAAATATGGCATAGACAGATATATGATTTTGAAAGTGCGAAGAGAGCTGGCGACCTATTTGGCTATCCTCTAATGATAAAGAGTAGGAGGCTTGCTTATGATGGGCATGGAAACGCTGCTGCTAAGAGTGAAGAGGAGATCTCTTCTGCAGTAAATGGTAAGATGTTCATTACTATAAATTACTTGAACCAATGAATCATAATAATTAGTATATTTTTTCCAATGAGCCGTATACCATGCAATTGCTTTCATTAATCAAATTTGTCACCTTCTGAATTTTTTTTTTCTTCTTTTTTTTCTTTTTATCAGTACACCAAGTCTTCTTTAGCTCATACATAAACATTTTAAGGGATTTAGTCAATGCAACTATGTTCATATAGAAAATATTAAGTGATCACCATCAACATATGCTTCATAACAAGCTAGTCTTCAAAACCCATCACAGTCGGCTCCGGGGGTCATCATCAAATCTTTAAAATGTTTTCTTACCTAGTCAATACTTGTGTTTGTTAAAAAATTGCCATTGCATATGTTGCTTCACCACCATGTTTCATAAATTATGGTTGCTTTTGTGCTGTTTCACAGAGCTTCCCTTTAGCTTCAATCTAATATGCTGCAATTAATGTGGGAAAACAAATTCACCTTTATTAACTGTTTTCTTTGATAAATTGCTTCTAGCTTCTCTAAAATTTTCAAGGCCATTCTCTTTGCAGTCCTTGGAGGCTATGATCGTGCATTATATGTTGAGAAATGGGCTCCATCTGTAAAGGTTTACTTCGACTATGTGCCTTTAATTTATCAAACCATCTGGACATGCTTATTTTGAGTTCTTGGACTGCACAAAGAATTGGTTTTTGTGTCCTGATCATTGCTTACAAGTTAGACATTATTTATTTGTTTATTTATTTTTTTTCAAATCCTACATAAGCTGATTTAAGCACACACTTGCTATTTGCTTGAGCTTGTGGTTTTTCTTATGTCTATTTTCTAATTACAAGACACATGTGCAGGTCTATGTTGCAAGCAATCTTCAGCTCATTGGTCTCAAGATCTGTCTATATGGTAACTTCTACTGCCACCCTAATTTTTAACCAAGCAATGGCTTGACATCCACTATATGTTTGGTTGTCATTGATATATAAAACGGTCCAAAAATTAGCTTTAACTTTTGATCTTTTTCTGTTTAATGATGATGTGCTCTGCCATTGCAAACCTAACAAAAGCACTAAAGTTGTGCCATATTTATGCAATGATACTGAATTGATCCCTGTGTATAAACTAAATTGATGGCTGGCCAATATTTAATTTAACTGTTTTTTTTTCTCTGGGCTACACCTGAGCGAGACAAGAGCGGGGAGTTGGGAGCATTCGAAGCGGAGTTATCAGCACCAACTGTAAAACCCAAGTTTTGTATATAATTATTTTTGGATAGATTAGTAATTAAATTAATTTATATGGGTCATTTAGTAATATTAAGAAATTTGTTATGAGATGGTATTATAATTTATATAACATAGATGGATAATTTTGTAATTTTGAGAAACTAGGTTAATAAACCCACATGTTTTGCTTCAAGCTTGGGAGAAGAACAAAAAAAACAGAGGGCTCGGGAGGTTTTTTTTGAAGGCTGCCGCAGGGTTTGAAAAAAAACAAAAAAATAAAAAAAGGGGGGGGGGGAGATTCATATAGTGATGATTTTGATCTAATCATCTCTTGGAGGCAAGATTTTTAATGGTTCTCCTATCTATTAATTTAGTTTCAATATAACAATGCATGATTCGTATGGATAGATATGAAAAGATAAACATATTTGTTTAATCTGATATTGGGTGTCGGTTTTGCCAAAATATGAATACGGTGGGTTGTTTTGGCACTTAAAAGGAGATTTCTTTAGGCAGAGTATCTTGTATGTTGATTGGGTGTGTGTATTTTGGGGCTGATATGTGATAGGTAATTCTAATGGTGGTACATTTGTAGGATACAAGCTTTAACTGCTAGCAACCATGGGTTTATATATGTAAAAAAATAACAATAGAATAAAATAAGTCTTGAAGATTGCGGAAGCCGTATTTTGGGGTTTTGGAATTTACTTGTAGAGTACAGGATTAGATTATTATATTATAAAGAAAAGAATGATGGATGCATCATGGTGATCAATAATAATTGTTTATGTGGTGCAATATTTTATTAGGTTTATGAGATTGAAGTGAATCTTGGTAATTTTAGAATAGCTTGAGAAATATTATTTTAGTTGTTTGAGGTAAGTAATCTTCTATCACTGTTGTTTTTTTTATTCCTATTGAATCGTTTAAAATTATAAATATTTATTTATACCCTTCATGTTTTTTTAAATTAAAATATAGGTCAAGTATAAAACAACATCTGATATTATTATGAAAATTATTTGAATATTTTGTGAAACTATTCTGAAAATTGTACAAAATGTTTATTCTGAAAATATCGAATATTTTATTTAAAAGTTGTGTGTTGTTTGAATTTTGAACATCACTCTAATATGACAATGATTTGGATCCTAGCCAATGGGGGATTATTTATTGGCACAGAAACTAGTTTCTTTCGGGGCTTTACCACCGGTCTATGTGTGGTTCTGGGCCTTGTCATAGGCTAAGTGACCGTAGTCACCAAGACTTGGGTTTTGTGAATCGCATCATTGAACCATCTGAATATTGAACCATCGATTTGAAAACGAAATTTCTTCGAACTATCTCATTGTCTTTTCAATTAGAATGTATTGCTACACTATTTATTTTCAACTATGAAACCATCTTACAAAATAATTGTTATTTATTGAATTGTAGCAAAAATATATTTATTGGTTATCGATTGTTTTTATTTTTATTTTTTGTATACTTGATCCAGCTAGCAGTGATGGTTGGTTATTTATTGGGCTGTCTTGCTTACCCTTATTTTATTTTTTTCAGATTCTGAGGAGTAGAGCTGCGCGGGGTTTTTACTTGTGGAAGTGCCGAGAGTAAGACTATGATTTAAGTACTTTGATTATTATTTTGTTAGTGGATTATATTAGTGAACTTGGTGGACAATTTCATATGATAAGAATTATTTATTTTTATGGATTTTGGCATTATGATAATTAAAGATTTAATTTGAGTATTTTACATTGTTGGTTTATGTGATTGGACTCTTAACCTTGCATGCTCACTTAAATGAGTGTGTGGCGTTGTCACGGAGATTGGGGCTTGACACCAACTGTTACTAGGCCCCTCTATGTATTGCTTGAAAAGATGAAATAACTTGATAAATATATATATATATATATATAGTTTTCATGTGTAATTATACTGTGGATTGTATGTTTGGAAGCATTGTGTGTTTGTTTTTGCTATCCACTGTGTTTGGAAGGATTGCAATAAAATGTTTGTGATTATCCAGTTAATTTTATAAATTATTGAGCATGATTATTTACGGGTGACTTGTTTGCTATATAAAAAAATGGCTTCTAAAATGGCTTCTGTGGGAGCTGTCCAAAGTCGGTTTGGGAATAGAATTTTTTAATTAAAATATAAGGTGAAAAAATTAGCGTTTGGTTTACTTTTTAAATCATGATTTTGTTTTTAATTGATGATTTGGATGAAACATGTTAACCAAACATATTTTTAAAATACAACTCAAAATTACTTTCTTCTTTTTTTATTATTTATTATCATTAATCAATCAATCACTTTTTCTCTTCTCTCTCTTCTCATATTTTTTCACATTCTATACATCAATCAAAATAAATAAATAAATAAATAAATAAAATTACAAATCATCTCAAAATTATTTTCAAAACTCATAACTAAATTTTATTTTTTTTTATTTTCAAATCATGATTCAGAACCTTAAAACTCAAAGCACAACTCTACACTCAAATCATTATTTTAAAACTAAACCAAACATATATTTAAGATTATCTTTTTATTTTTTTACAAAACAAATTTACAAAAAAATAGAGAAATAATGAAAATAATTTTTTGACTTTTTTATGTGACTTTTCAGTGTCTTTTTGACTATATTGGCCCTGTTTGATAAGGCTTATTTCCAGCTTATTTTAGCTTTTAGCTTAATTTAAGCTATTTTGATGTGTTTGGTTCAGCTTAACAATACAGCTTATAACTTTTTGTAAGTCAAAAATCAACTTATTCTTTGAGTGGGGGAGGAGAAACTTAATTTATGAGTCAAAAATCAGCTTATGTTCACAACTATAAGTTAAGTTATAATCACTTTCCCACAGCTCTACCAAACGTGGCCATTATCTAGTTTTTCAAATGTACTGGGCTGTGTTTGGTTCATGGATTTGAAGAGTGATTTGGAAAGGAAAAAAGAAAATGTGCGTAAAACTAGGTAAAATATAGGTATATTTTATTTATATTTCACCAATATTTTTTCTTTCCTTTTCCAAATCTCTTTCCAAATTCCTGAACCAAACATAGTGGGGAATTTTTTTAACAACTATTAAGATTTTATAAGATAAAAGACATACAATATTTTCATAGTAGTTGGGGTCTCTCAACATTTTTACAAAAAAATTAGACTAAGAGAGAAATTTTAGCTCGGCTCAGAAAAATTTCGGCCTTGACATAAAGAAATTTCAATTTTCACAAAAAAAAATTTTCGAAGGACCTTAGCTAAGAAAAAAAAAATCTTAAACCTTTTCTACTACACAAAGTTAGAGAGAGGTGTTTCAATAATTTTTTTTTACTCTATTTTATTGTGAGGGATAATCCTTTGATAGAGTTGGAGGTTATGGCCACAGCAAGCTACATGTGCTACTGTGAGACTTATTGAGGGCGTGTCCTAAGTCTTTTTCGATAATTTGAACTGTTTATATTGTAAGGTTCGTCAAATAGGGGAGCCTCTATTAACACACCAGTTTTCATCTCAAAGCACACCATTAATTAAAAAAAAAAATTTTATTACAATTTTAACCTAAGATAAAATGACCACAAAGGACAAAAGTTATAATACACACCATTTGTATAATTACCATAGAGGATAATACTGAATATAATACACATCTTTATTCTCAAACGTTACGTACATATCTTGTCTATTAAGAATCCAAAAATCCTAAAACCCTTGAAAGAAACAATCAAAAATATACATATTATTGAAGATTTTGATTGGATTGGATGATGGATGCATCTGGCAACACTAATTTGGAACAATGGAGCAAGGAAAATGTTATTTTTCATTTTTATTTTCGTTTTCGTGTACTTGCTGGGGGTAAACCGTTTGAATTAGTTCGGTTATCCAGAGTCGAATATTATTCTTCTATTCGACTATCCACAACTGTACAAATTGGTTTTGTTCGATTTATTAATGTCGAACTTGATTCAATTTTTCGGTTTCTATGTGTCGAATACAAACTACATGTTCGGCTATCAATAGTCGAACATATGTGATTTGTTCGACTTTGTACTGTTGAACAAGTATAATTTTTTTTTTCTTTTTTGGCTTCTTCCAGAATTGTGCGTCCACGGAATGCAGTAATGTTGGATCCGAGTGTCTTGTTGACTATACAAGTCAATTTACTACTAATGAGGTACTCTCATGTCAAAAATTAGTGTTTTTTTTTTTCCGCATATTTAATGACTTTGGTTAATTTGGCATGTAGGTTTTCAAGAGCAAAGAAGAATTGCTCAGTTGGGTACGAGATGTTGGAAGGAAAAATGGTTTTGTGATTGTCATCAAAACATCAGACTATGCTGGTGGTCATAGGACACCAAAGATATTTCTTGCATGTGAGAGAAGTGGTCAATACATAGCTCATAAGAAATTAAAAGGAGATGATTCAAACAAAGAAATTGTGAAGATAACGGGTACAAGCAAATACAGGTGTCCCTTTGAGTTGGGGGCTCGTAAATTGATGGCTAATAATGATTGGATGGTAGATGTAGCATATGGAATGCGTAACCATGCTCCTGTTAAACATTTTGAAGGACATTCATTTGTAGGGAGATTAGCTGAGGAGGAAACATCATTATTAGTCGATATGTCCAAAAGCATGGTTAGACCAAAAGAGATTTTGGTTACCTTGAAACAAAAAGATGCTTTGAATGCAACCACTATGAAAACCATTTACAATGTATGTCATAGGAATAATGTTATTGAGAAAGTTGGGAGATCACAGATACAACAGTCGTTGGGTGAATTAGAAAAGCATAATTACATTGAGCGGCATAGGTGTGACAACAGCACGATGACTGTGACAGACTTGTTTTAGGCACATCATGTCACTTTAGATTTGCTCCGTTCATTTCCAGAGGTGTTGATCATGGACTGCACATATAAGACAAATCGATATCGTCTTCATTTTCTTGAGATAGTTGGTGTGACATCCACTGATATGTCATTCTCCGTAGCTTTTTCATATCTCCAATTTAAGCGAATTGATAACTACGTTTGGGTGTTAACTATATTGCGTAGTCTCTTTGATGACATTGTTATTCCTGAGGTGACTGTCACGGACGGGGAGCTTGCTTTGATGAATGCTATTGATAGTGTATTTTCTATATCTCGACATTTATTGTGCCGATGGCATATTAGTAGAAATATACTGGCGAAATGCAAGAAAACGTTTAAGAGTAAGGAGGAATGGGACAAGTTTATCTCTTTATAGAATTTCTTAGTACTCTCCTCAACTGAGCCTGAATACAATGAACACCTTGCTAGACTACTTGCGAATTTTGATACATATCCTCAGGCAGTGCAATACGCGTCACAAAGTTGGTTAAATCCATTTAAGGATAAGTTTGTTGCTGTATGGACAGATAGTTGTATGCACTTCCGGAATGTTACAACCAACAGATAATATATATTTGTTTATCTTATACTATTAGTCATTATGATTTTGATTATTTAAACTTAATTATGTTAATTGTTTCCATTGTACACAGGGCTGAAAGTGCACATGCAAAACTTAAACGGCAACTTAGTTCTGACCAAGTCAATTTTGAGTGTTCTTGGACCAAGATCCATAGTTTACTTGAGTTGCAGCATGTTGATATTAAGGCATCGTTTAAGAAGAGTTTAACTGCTGTACAACACCACTTCAAACCATCCCATTTTAGAGAGCTCTGAGGCAATATCTCCATAACTGCATTAGCTCATGTCTTAGCGAAGAGTAAGCGAGCGAATGATGTTGGCATTGATGCTTCAGTATGT